AAAAGGGAGGCTTAGCACACAAATCCAGTAGCAAAGAAGAAAGGAAGCTCTAATATCTTCCAGCAACAATATTTGAAACTCTCTGACAGTTCAGAACAATCCCAACTATTTGTTAGAGGGAAGACAAACAAGGGCATCAAAGGATAACTTACCAAGAAGACCTAGGCTAAGTCTAGGCTGAGATGAGGGCACCATGTAAGGTTTTGAGTATGGAGGCAGGGCCATTTTGCTCACTGTGTGTGTGGCTAGAGCTAGGAGGCCCAGCTGCCAGAGCAGGGTACTGATGCTTTAGGAACAATGGTTGAGCATATGCGCCTATGCACATGAACTCAAAAAATACATAACAATGTAGTCTAAGTATGGATCACCATTAAGACTGAGGGATGTGAATCTGCAAGGGCATCCTGGTTGCAAAGATCAATCATTTCCAGATAGCAAGACCAGTGTCAAATGCAATAACAGAATCAAAGGAGATAATAGAATGATTGAAATGTCCTTTCATTCCCCTCCTTCTGACTTGTAAAAATGACTGTCTTCTTTGCACTTAGAGAACCCTTTAATTTCTTCAAAAATTCGAGGAGGAGGCTATAGGAGATAGCCCCTAGGAGCCAGTACAAAATTTTCTGTTAACTAGACACTTCAAGACTTAAAAAACTAATTAGAAGAATCAAACATGTCACATGATTATTATCCCATGCTGAGGGGTTATTCTTCGAATGAAATGGACAACATTGATATTGCTAAAGATAAAGGTCTTAAAACTCCTGAAATAAAGAATTCTGTACCTATTACTACTTTTAACTACTTTAGCCTTTTGCTTGATTTCTGGCTGATGAATTGGACTAACTCACTGCCATTCCCATACTACCTGAAACACGCTATGAAATTTCACCTGATGTATAAGATACCAGACTTATAATTATTTTAAACCTCAATTTAGTGTTAATTAGTCTTTTAATGTAAATACTTACATATTTAAACCACTAGCAGTGGGATAATCTTTTGCAGCCCATCCAAAGATATCTTCAGAAAAAACATGAGTATCTTGCTCAAGAAGAAGAGTGACTATATTTGGTGATTTACGATGTGCAGCAAGTGTGAGGGCTGATCTAAAATAACAGAGAGGTAACTTCACACATAGGAACTTTAATAAAGTTATTTAAAATTCTAATTTAATATACATTACCAGCTGAATATTTTGCCTGTCAGTGTAGAATTAACCATTTACACGTACTAACTGGCACAAGCATCTTGGATGCTCAAGTGTTCATCTTTATAAATTACCACCAAGGTTAAAAGGAAGGGACAAAAAGGTAGCCTTTTGTCTCATTAAGGTATGACATACTAGAAGTTGGTCATTCTTTGCTGAGATCACTTATCTAAAGTAAGCAAAGTATTAACTGAAGTACTGTCCATGTCTTCCCTATTTTGATATAATGTACTATAATTCAAAGTCAACTAGGGGTCAGTTAAGTAAGAGCTATCTGCAGGCTTAAAACAATAACATCCATAATAATGATACAATTAGTAGTCATGTTAGTTTCAGTTAATCATGCTGACGAGCATGCGCTGGGCACTGAATTCAATGTTCTGTATATAATCTTACTTGTACACAACCACCCTGGAAGGGCATATTGTTATTCTCCTTTTCATATTAGAATACACATTTGGTGATAAGTAGCGTTCCCAAGGTCACACACCTAGCAAGTGGGAAAGCTAGAATTTAAACCAGGTCTTATGTGAATGGAAAGCCTCTTTTCCCTTTATCATCCACTTATGGCTTATCTTCATTAAAGAAAAATGTTATCCAAATAAAGTTGTCTTTCTCCCTTTTTTCATAACAATTAAGAAGAAAAAAAATCAAAATACATTAGAAATAAAAATGGTAAAAAACTGATGAACCCACAGTATCTAGTTATAGCAATTAATAATCCTTTACAGATCACCTAACATCAATAGTCTTCAAAGAAAACAAAGCAAAGAGTCATCGAAAAGACCAAATGATTTTCTACTTCTATTTATGTTCCATATAGCATTTTTGAAGGAAAACTCTAGAAGCAAAAGTTAAAAAATATTATAAAAGGATTAAGAACTTCAATATTGAGTCATAAAGTGAACTAAAAGTTAAAGTCCACACTTTAATAAAACTAATATGAAAACTCTTTAGCTGA